TTTTATATATATATATATAATTTTTAAGAAGTTTTTATTGTGAATTGAGTGATAGTTTACATGGGGGAACATCACTTTTACACTCCTCATTTCATTGCAATGATTACAGTGTACTCCATGCACCGTCATTTAATTGTATTTGCTTCTATATCCCTAGTCCCTTTGTTTTTTTTTGTTGTTGTTGTTTTTGTTTTTTTGGCAGGGGGATGAATACAAAAACACTCAGGAATATATAATAATTTAAACAACCAAAGGGCACATTTCTGCAAGCCTTCCTCCTGGCCACCAACACACACAGCCTTTCTCCTTCCAAGAGTCTCAGTCTTCAGCTGCTCTATTTCGCCATGCTCTCATCTCTGTCTGGTGTTACTGTTTCTCTGGATACAGTCCCACATTCCACTCGTGCTCTTCTCCCTTGATGGTCCTAGAGTCCTCTGTATTCCCGGAATACTACCCTCTTTTTGTTAAAAAGCTTTACCTTTACAGTGTAACAGTCTCAATTAGTTATGATAACAGTTACTCACTATTGAATCATAAGAATCTTATCCCCATCTGTTGTCACTAGACCCATCTAGACAAGATGAATACTCTTCAGTGGAAATTCTGCCTTCCCCCACACCCTCTGAAACTAAACTCCCTCTTGAAAACTTGTAAGCCAGTCACTTCATGCCTTTGTAGGCCCCTCATTTTAGGTAACCTGTGTCTAAGTTAGAGTCCTGGTGTGGCACTGTGAGCTAATGCGTCAGGTTGCAAAGTCATTTGAACTGCAAGGTCAGTGGCTCAAGCTCACCAGCTGCTCCTTGGAAACCCTATACAGGTTTGCTATGGGTCGGAATGGACTCAACAGCATTTAACAAAAACAATGTCTAGGTTGTCTCTCCCTAACAACCCTGTATACCGAAGAGATAGGATTTATCATTGATGTGAAGACTCCTTAGGCTCTCAGATGGTGTTTTGACCTACTACATCCATAAATATAGGTCAAGTTCATTAAATTGTAGCAACTTACACTTGTTTCCTTTATTAAAAAAAAAAATCTTTGTTGGTTATGGATGGGAGTGACGACGGTAGAGCACAGTATAGGGAATCATAGTTCAGGTGTTGGGGAGGGCAATACACAAAGGGGAGGGCGATGGAAGAACAAGGTATATAGGGGAACACAGGCAGGTTTGCATGGGCTAAATGGGACAGAGTTAAATAGTGATATATACTTAACCTTGGAACAACAGGGCTCTGTGATACAGGGATCGAGGCATAGTCTGAATGGGTAAAAGAGGGGAAATAATGTTAAGATGCTTGACTGTCTTATGAATATTGGTTTCCCTTGATTACTGCTGTAAAATAGACAACTTGAGAGGGGTAGAAAGGAGTATTGTGAAGCATGATTATGGAAAGCTTGTAAGCCCGTCTTTATCCTATAATTGATTGAAATACCTAAAAGTGGTTCTAGAACTTGTCCAGTGATATAGGCTTCCCACAGAGCCTTTGTAGTCTATAGGACCTTAGGTAGACTCCTGAGCCCCATCCAGAACCTTCTGAGGAGGGACATTCACACTTGAAAGGACAAACAGAGCAGCCTGGAACAGCTAGAGGAACAGAAGATAATTCTTGAAGGAAAGGACCAGCAGGGAAAATCAAAAACAAAACCGACCATCTGATTGGCTACTACAAGAACAAGCAAGTTGTTTGCCAGGGAGCCATCAAGGCAAGCAATCAAGTTCCTTCAGGACAAACTCCTCTCTAAGAATGAAATTCAATGGGAACACACGAACAGATATGCAAGCTTGCTGGTGACCACATCGATCTACTGCTGAGCGGAAGAGGAGAAAGGTAGCAATGAAGAAATGGGCTGAGTTCAACCACAGTCTTTTGACTTCCATTGACCTGGAGAAGAGAGAGAGAGAAGAATAAGGGCTGGTTGGTCCAAGAATGAGGGCTGTGGTGAGACCTGGGGACATCTGAGCCCATGGACAAGAAGATAGCCACAGAGGGCTAGAGCTGAGAAAGCGTCCAGCTGATATGACGTGAGGGGAGACACACAAGAACACCTAATCTAGCTTCCATGGCTTAATGATCAGATCTCGACTAGAGGAAGATAGGATTATATAGTTTTGGGTTCATTTCAGCAGCAAGAAAATAATTCTGCTTTGAGTTGTTAGAAAACATTTTAATCCAGTGCAAATAGAATTGTAACATTGCCATTAAGTGTTATTCCATGACAGTCTTTCTAAAAATGTATATATCAGTTTCTTCACATTTTTGTCTGTATTGATTGATGCATTTTTTTTATGCCACATTGTTTTAAGTGTTCACAAGTTGAAAATGAGTTTACCCTTATAATCAGACAAGTTTAAATGTATTATAATGATTGGTGGGGGGAGGTTAGATTTTATAATAAAAGTCTTTGATGGCAATATAAAGTTATTTCTAGATTCACAACAAATTATCAATTGTTAGCATTCATTGAATATACATGGAAATTTTTATTTTAAAAAAATATTTAGGTGTTGAATGCCATATCAGTATGTTAAAAGGTTTGTCATCTTTCCTTAGGTTGCCAGCCGAGTGCAAAAGTATTTCATAAAGCTAACCAAAGCTGGCATTCCAGTCCCAGGAAGAACACCAAACTTATATATATACTCCAAAAAGGTAAAAAGAAAATAGATGAAAGTAAACCTTAGATCTTAGATGAAACTCATTAAGGTCAGAGTGGTATGTGAAATTGCACATTTTTATCTGACTATACTTCAGTTTATACTTGAAATTTTGTTTACTCCAGGCACTCTGTTATAGTAGCTGTAAATCCAGGGTAAGATTCCAGTAATGTTACTCAGTACAATTCAGTAAGCTTTAATGACAATCATTCATTATTTTTTTATTTTTTAAATGTTTTATTGTGAATTATGTGATAGTTTACATGGGAGAACATTAGTTTTACATTCATCATATCGTATAACGTTTCATTGCCATGGTTACAATCCCCTCCATGCCATCAACCAACCAAAGGGTATACCCTGCAAGCCCCCAGGTCGTCAGCACACAGCCCCTCTCCCTCTCTGGGTCTAAAGTCCCCAGCTGCTCCATCTTTCCATGTCATCGTCTCTACCTCCATCTCAGGCATCACTGCTTCTCTGGGTAGGGTCCTTCTCGCTGCACTTCTCCATTGATGGTCCCAGAGCCCTCCGCTCCTAGACTGAAAAGTTAATCACTCCCCTCCTTGCTACAAAATGTCTACCTTTGCATTTCCAACCCTCACAATCAGTCCTGATAACAATTATTCACTATTGTATTACAAGAGACCTATCCCTATTTCCTTTCATCAGCCCCGCCTAGACAGATTGGATACTACTCAGTGGAGAGTCTACCTTCCTCCATGCCCTCTGGATCTAGGTTTCCTCTTGCCTTAGTAGCCCCCCATTTTGGGTATCCAATGTCCAAATTGCCCATCCCTGTCTACTCTGTGTATGGAGGCGGGTGGGAATGATCTTTGCTATAAAGATTTGTTCCCTCTTTTGAACTACTGCATCCATAGGTATAGGTCAAGTTCATCTTTTTTTTTTCCTCTTCTTTTTCTAGTTGATCTCTGATCATCCAGTCATTGAAGCCAGGTCGAGTGGGTATTATCTGCAAGTGTGGTTGTTCTTGTACATATGCCCTCTCTTCTTATCAGCTGGACGCTTCACTGTCCACTCTAGCCCTCTGTGGCTATGTCACTGACTCTGGGCCCAAGAGTCCCCAGGTCTTGCCACACTGCTGGCCAACCAGGTCTCCACCCGGTTGTAGGGCTTAGCTTGCAGCTTCATTTCCTCACTTCCTCTTATCAGTGACAAACGTGGTCACCAACAGAGTGTGTATTCCCATTGAGTCTTAGTCTTGGAAGGGGGTTTGTTCTGAGGGGACCCCACCACTTGCCTTGATATCTCCTGGGCGAGCAACTTGCTTGTTCTTGTAGTAATCAGTCAGTCTGCCTATATTGTTTTGTATTTTTCCTTTTGGTCTTTCTTTCAAGAAGTATCTTCTGTTCTTCCAGTCGCTCCAGTCTGGTCTGCCCGTCCTGTCAAGAGGAAATTTCCCACCTCTGAAGATTCTGGATGCTGTTCAAGATTTCACCTATAGTCTTATGTAATGCAGAGGCTCCTCAGGAAGCCTTGTAGACCCATTTTAGGTATTCCAATAAGTTATAGGCAGAAGACGGACTTATAAGCTTTCTATGGTGATGTTTCTGGTTATTCCTTTCTCTCCCCCTCCAGTGTCTATTTTATAATGTAAGGCAAGGAAAGCCAAGATTCAATAGACAGCCAAGCATCTTAATGTTATTTCCCTCCTTTTCCTTATTCCAACCATGTCTGAATCCCTGTATCTGGGAGCCCTGTTGTTCCAAGGTTGTGCATACATCATTTATTTACCTTGTGTCCCCCTTAGCCCATTCAAACCTGCCTAATTGTTCTCCCATCCGCTTTGTTCTTCCATTCCCCTCTCCCTTCTTGTATATTTCCCCCTCCCCAGCACCCAAACTATCCTGTGTCTATTCCCTGTCTTGTGCTCCACCTTCCTGTCCCTCCCCTCACCCCACTCCCCACATCCCAGCAACCAGCAAAGAATTCTCCCACCGCCCTTTAGTATGGGTTCTCTTTCATAGTCTTTTACAGTAGTGGTCCTATGCAGTATTTCTCTTTTTGTGGATCGTTCATTATTTTAAGTATGGGTTAGTTTTTGTGAATGAATGCTGTTTGATAAGTTTTAGATTGACTTTATGGAGCTCTGGTAGCGTAGTGGTTATGAATCGGGCTGTGAACCGCAAGGTCAGCAGTTCAAAACTACCAGCTGTTCCGCGGGAAAAAGATGAGGCTTTCTGCTCCTGTAAAGATTTACAGCCTCGGAAACCCTGTACAGGGTCGCTATGAGTTGGAAGCGACTCCATGGCACATAACAACAACAACATATGTCAGACATTTTGTGATGTTAATTTTTAGGATGTTTGACTTTTTAAATAAATACCAAGTTTTGTGTTTTCAGATATGACACATTACATCATAGTATTATTTTTCAATTACAACAAAAAACTTGATAAAGCACATATTGGCCTTCTTTCATTTCTTGTTTGTTTTTATTTTGTTTTTTCAGCAGCGGGGGAGCTTTTTACTGTGAATTGAATGAAAGTTTACAGAGTAGATGACCAGTTTTACATTAATCAAATCATTCATTCCATCCCTGATTGTAATCCCATCCATATAACAACAGTTATCCCACTTACTCCCTATGATTCTTATTTTCATTCCACTTTCCTTCCCAACCCTTCTGAACTTTGTTCTTAGGTAAATGCTGTCCTTTGGATTTTGATTGGTTGACCATTCCATGGTGAGCATACTCAGTTCAGTTTCTGACCTGAAGTGTGGCTATGGGCCACAGTTTCAGGCCTCTCCGTTCTCTTTCTGACCAGTAAGCCCAGTCCTTTTTTACAACTTTGAGTGTTGGTCCACATTTTCTCCCACTTTATTATTTTTGTTAGGTGCCCTTGAGTCAGTTCCAACTTACAGCAACCCTATCCACAGCAGAGCAAAACTCTGCTCAATCCTTCAGTATCCTCACAATCAGTCCCACACTTGAACCCATTGATGTTGCCACCATGCCAGTCCATCTCAGTGGGGGGTCTCCCTCTTTTTTGCTGGCCCTCCACTTTACCAAGCATAATGTCCCACTCTAGGGACTGGTCCCTCCCGATAGCATGTCTTAAGTCACCTCATCCTGGCTTCTGAGGAGCATACTTCTTCCAGCACAGATTTATTTGTTATTCTGGCAGTCCTTGTACTTATCAGTGTTCTCCTTCAACGCTGTAACTCAAATGCATCAATTCTTCTACAGTCTTCTTTATTCAGTGTCCGACTTTCACATATATTGAAAATAACATGGCTTGGGTCAGGCTGATTAGTCCTCAAACTGATATCTTTGCTCTTGAACATTTTAGAGAGATCTTGTGCAGCAGATTTCCCTAATGCAATTGATTTCTTTACTCTTCCTTCCATGAGTATTGATGGTTAAACCCAGAAATATGAAATCTTTGAAAACTTCAATCTGTTCTCCATTTATCTTGATATTATTTATTGGTGTAGTGGTGAAGATTTTTCTTTTCTTTGCATTGAAGTGCAATCCATACTAAAGATTGTAGCCTTTGTTCTTCATCAGTAAGTCCTCTTTGCTTCCAGCGAGTAAGGTTGTTGTTATGTGCTGTTGAGTTGTTTCCAATCCATAGCGACCCTTTATAGGGTTTTCGAGGAGCAGCTGGTGAGCTTGAACCACAGACCTTGGAGTTCAGATGACTTTGCAGTTCAGTGCATTAACCCACAGTGCCACATCAAGGCTCCATCTGCATATTACAGGTTATTAATGAGTCTTCTTAAGGAATTCTGGTAGCGTAATGGTTATGAATTGGGCTGCTAACCTCAAGGTTAGCAGTTTGAAACTACCAGCCGTTCTGTGGTAGAAAGATGAGGCTTTCTGCTGCTGTAAAGATTTACGGCCTTTGAAACTCTGTGCAGGGTCATTATGAGTCGAACCGACTCCATGGTACTTAACAACAACAGTAAGTTTTCTTGGAATGCTGATGTCACATTCTTCTTCTTAGAATCCAGCTTCTCAGATTATTTACTCAGCATACGGATTGAATAGGTATGGTGGAAGAATACAACCTTCGTACACGCTTTTCCTAAATTTAAACCATTCAGTATCCCCTTGTTCTATTTGAATGATTGGCTCTTAGTCTATGTAATGGTTCTTCATGAGCACAATTAAGTGGCCTGGAGTGCCCATTCTTTGCACTATTATTCATAGCTTGTCATGATCCATGCAATTAAAAGCTTTTGCAGTCAGTAAAACACAGATGAACATTTTTTGGCATTCTCTGTTTTTAGCCAAGATCCATCTTACATCAACAGTAATATACTTAGTTCCATGTCCATTTCTGAATCTGGCTTGAATTTCTTGCAGTTCTCTGTCTATGTACTGTTGCAGCCATTTTTAAACTATTTTCTGAAAATTTTTACTTGCATGTGATTTTAATGATACTGTTCAATGATTTCTGCATTCTTTTGGATCACCGTTCTTTGAAATGTGCACAAGTATGGCTATCTTTCAATAGATTGGCTATGTAGCTGTCTTCCAAGTGAGTGAGTGCCTCCAGCACTACATTGGTTTGTTGAAAGATTTCAGTTTGTATTCTGTCAATTCCTTGTTTTTTGTCCATGTTTTCAGTGCAATTTGGGCTTTTTCCTTTAGTACCGTTGGTTCTTGATCATATGCTACCTCTTGAAATGGCTAAACATTGAACGTTTCTTTTTGGTACAGTGTTTCTGTATATATCTTTATTCTTCTTTTGATGTTTTCAGAATCATTCACTATATTCCCCATAGAATCTTTACTACAGCAAGTCCAGGTTTGAATTTTTTCTTCAGTTCTTTAAGCTTGGGAAATGCTAAGCGTGTTCTTCCCTTTTGGCTTTCTAACTCCAGGTCTTTGCACATCTCATTATAATCCTTTAATTTGTCTTCTCAAGCTGCCCTTTGAAATTTTCTGTTCAACTCTTTTGCTTCCTCATTTCCTTCATTTATTTAGCAAGTTTCATAGTCTCTTCTGACATACATTTTGGTCTTTTCTCTCCTGTCTTTTTAGGTTTCATGTTCTGATTATTAATGGTTGTTTGCAGCTGTTTCTTTTCATTTTGAGTTGGTCCCCCTTAGCAAATGAAGGTCCTGAAACCTCTAGCCCATTCATACCATCATGGTCAACTCTACTCTGAGGAGATAACTCTTCACCAGTCATTTTCTGAGTAACTTCCAACCTGAGGGGCTCATCTCAGGCACTAGATCTAATAATATTCTAGTGCTGTTCATAAGTTTGTTATATTCCAATACTATATTTGTCAATTTTCCATTGCTATTCATAAGTTTGCAGTTGCTAAACATCAACATGTAGTTTGCATCTCCTTCTTCCTAGTCTGTCTTAATCTGGAAAGTCATGTGAAGCCTTTCCACCATGGGTGACCCTGTTGCTATTTAAAATATCAGTGACATAGCTTCCAGCATCAAAATAACACACATGCCACAGTAGTACAACAAACTGGCAAAGGAGTGCTGGCCCTCTATCTAGGACCTTCTAATGTAATCCATTACAGAGCAGTTGGTAGGGATTATCGGGGCTCTCTTTAGTTCCTCTCTTTTCAGAGTTATGGAGGCTGATGTTCATGTTTTCCATTAGTCTATTGGGCTAATTGATTTCAAGTGTCTGTACTTTTCATCACTCTTCTTTCATCAACACTTACGTATGTAGTTATTGTTTAGTGCCTGTCTTGTAGAGACCCTGTATAGGGTTTCTGAGGAGTGACTTGTTGGTTTAAACTGCCAACCTTATTGTTCACAGTCCAGTGCTCATCCTATAGTTCCATACCAGGACTCATGGAGAGACCAATAGATGTACCTTAGATGGTTGGTTTTTTAATATTGAGTTGCTGTTACCATAGTAGGATGTAGAACATTATCTTTGTGGACTATGTTATGCCAGTTGACCATGGGGTCCCCTGAGACTATGGTCATGTGCCTCCAGGCCCAGCAATTCATTGTTTCATGGCCTTTAGTAATGTCTAAGAAGTGTTCTTAACATTGATATTCTTTTTTATTGAAGCAATTTTATATAATTTACATGAACAATGATGTCATTATAACTCCATGTTTTATAAGTTTATTTTTACTAGACTTTGGAAGTTTGAATTTGGCTATTTAAAAAATATATTTTTTGAATTATTTTTTCAATATAATATTATCTGTACTAGATATGTAGTTTTCATCCTATAACTGAAATGTTGTGACCCCAATAACCTACGTTCAGCTCTAATTTTCATGATTATTTTCTAAACTAACTTCATAGGTATGTTATGTACCTTATATTTTCCCAACTAAGATGGGAATGATAATAACAAATGGAATACTTAGAGAAATCTAGATGTGTTCACGTTAGATTTTTGAAACAGGTAAAATGGCAACTATGCTATCAGTCAAGAGAAACAGCCTGCACAGTGGGTGAGAGTGAGGGATTTGGCAACACACAGACCTACTCTGTAGCCCTGCTTCTACCACTTCTAGCTGCAGTACCTTCCTATGCCTCAGTCTCCTTCCATTTTTTTTTTTTTTTTAATGTTTTATTGTGATTTATGTGATAGTTTACATGGGAGAACATTAGTTTTACATTCATCTTGTCATATATCGTTTCATTGCCATGGTTACAGTCCCCTCCATGCATCATCAACCAACCAAAGAGTATATCCTATAAGCTTGTCTCTCCGCCCCCTTTGCTCCCCCAAACCCCCCTCGGGTCATTAGCACACAGCCCCTCTCCCGCTCTGGGTCTAAAGTCCTCAGCTGCTCCATCTCTCCACATCATCATCTTTGCCTCTATCTTAGGCATCACTGCTTCTCTGGGTAGGGTCCTACTTTCCGCTCTTCTCCCTTGATGGTCCTAGGGACCTCCACTCCTAGACTGCAAAGTTACTCACTATCCTCCTTGCTATAAAACGTCTACCTTACATTTACAACCCTCACAATCAGTCCTGATAACAATTATTCACTATTTTATCACAAGAGACCCATCCGCATTTCCTTTCATCAGCCCTGCCTAGACAGTTGGATACTACTCAGTGGAGAGTCTACCTTCCTCCACGCCCTCTGGATCTTGGTTTCCTCTTGAAAGCTTGTAAGCCAGTCACTTCTTGCCTTTGTAGAGTCCTTCCATCTTTAAAATAGAACTGATAGTACTTTTAAGGGATGTTGTGGGAATTGTGTGACATTGACATAGACTCAACAGTCACTCAGTGTTAGAGAGTTTTAGACGTCATATGTTGTGGAAGTTTTCCTTTTACTACATAGCTTTATGTCTAGCTTAGTCCACTTCATCATCACTGATCTTTAAAATGACTCTTAAGTGGTATTAAATTCAGCCATCATTTGAATGCATGATGAATGTTGGGCATACAGATATAGTGAGATAATGAACACATAGATTATTGTACTATTGTTGTTAAGTGCCATCGAGTCGGTTCTGACTCATTGTGATCCAGTGTAGGGTTTCCAGGCTATAAATCTTTGCAAAGAGTAGAAAGCCTCATCTTTCTCCTGCGAAACAGCTCGTGGGCGGTTCACTTTGTTGTTTAAAGTCCAGTGTTTATTCTGTAGCACTGTATTGATGGGGTATTCACTTACATCTCTGTTTTTTTAAGGTTATATGTGCATTAAAAACCCAGACCACTTAGAAAAAGCAACGTCGTTTGAGTATGCTAAAGGATAGAAGTGAAATTTTTCTGATAGACTGTCTGGCAATACTATTTAGGTAAAGTTTTAAATTCTTTTAATGGTTGTTCAGTATCCCAATTAAAGCTTCTATTTTTCTCTTTTAGTCTTCAACAAGCAGACGACAGCATCCTCTTAATAAGCATCTATTTAAACCTTCTACTTTTATGACATCTCATGAACCTCCGGTATATATGGATGAAGATGATGACCGATCCTGTTTTCATAGCCACATGAACACTGCTATTGAGGAGGCATCAGTAAGTTATTATACAGACCAGGGTACAGTGGGAGAGCATCTGGATTTTATAATTGTACCTGGTTTTCAGAAAACTATCAAGTCAGATTTTGTTTTTAGTCATATTTAAGAAATCTTTAAATGAAGATTATTTTGAAGCAAATCCCAGATATAGCATTTCGTGTTAAAATATTTTAGTATGTATCTTTTTTTTTGTATGAATCTTTAATAACCACATCATTATCATGTCTATAAAAAGGCAATTGTTTTTATAATATATATTTCCAATCATCTTTTGATTATTTTTCCTTTGTTTGGATGAAGATACAAATAAAGTCCATAAATTGCAATGACCTACCTTTCTCCCTCTCTCTGTCTCATTTCTTTTTGTCTATTTAAAATTATGTTGAAGAACTGCTCAGTTGTCCTATAGAACTTATCACAGGGTGGATGTTATTGATTATTTCTCTTTTAGTGTCACTTAGCCTGTTTCTGTGTTTCCTAAATTTCCTGTGACTTAGGCCTGTTTGCTTTGTACTTCTGACAGTCTGGTTATCTTGTTGCTGTTTTGTTTTACATGGCAGTATCATTGCTTGTATTCATTAATTCAACAGGTGTTACAACATAGTCATATTCTTATTGTTGTTTGATAAAATATTCTATAAAGAGAAGTCCCATTTTCAACTATTTGATTATCCTGAGTACATAAATAAAAGAGTAGATGAATTCTTGATTTTTCAGATAATGAGTTCATTCTCTTAAGTCCTCCAGAAATGACCAATGAGGTTGTTTAGTTTTGTTTTGTATTGTATGAATTGTTGGACATGAATATATTTAATGTGTTTCAAACCTTTGGTGTTACTGTCTTTGTTGGTACAAAAATTGGCCCATCTTTGGCCAGTTTAATCCTCCTCAAGAGTGTAAATGGGATATCTGAATTTAAGACAGTGAAGTGAAAATATAATTCTAATTGAAGTCCATTGCAGTGAGGGACAGAGAACAAATGGAGGTGACTATGTCACTGCAGTAGAAAAAGTCTAGGAATGGAAGCGAGAGGCAGGTGATGGAGCATGCATAAAGATGTTGAAATTACCCAAGATTACGAACAATATTGTCAGCAGTTTTCAATAGGCAAATCTTGAATATTAGCCCTTTGATTTTAAAGCTAGTAGACAGATTTTGGTGAGCGTGGTGGCTCCATATGATCAGCACTGGACTGTTAGCCACGAGCTCAGCGGTTCGAGCCCACCAGCCACTCTGTGAAAGAAAGATGAGGCTTTTTGCTCCCACAAAGATGTATAGTCTCATAAATCCTATACAGGGTCACTCTTAGTTGGAACCGTCTCCTCAGCACTTACCAACAACCACTCCCACATTTTATTCGTCTTTTGATTGGATGCTTCATTTCCACCTTTTAGCTATTGTGAAAAGTGCTTCAGTGAAAATTGGTGTGTAGTTTTCTTTTTGTTTCAACCTTTGCTTCTTCTGGGTATACATTTAGGATTGGAATTACTGTATCAGATGGTAGTTTTATGGCCAACTTTTTGAGGAAGTGCCTAACTGTTCCACGGTGACTGTACCATTTTATATTTGCACCAACAATGGATAAAGGCTCTTATTTCTCCACAACCTCAGCAAGACTATTTAGTTTTTTAAAATATTTTATTTTGTGGTTGAGAATATATACAATACATACAACAAAGCACAACCAATTCTGTAGTTTCTAGATGTACCTTTTTTTGTGACATTGCTTACATTCTCTGAACTGTGAGACCATTCTCACCTTCCTTTTCTGAGTTATCTCTCTTATTAACGTAAGCTCATTTCCCCATAATCTTTGAAGTTGTTATTGTCGATTTGATTTCATATAGATTGTTCTTAAAACAGCATAATGCTCAAGACATTTTATAGAAGTTTTTAATATTTATGATGCCTAACTTTTCTATTTTAACTTCTGTTTGTGATTTTGTTGTCATATCTGATAATCCATGGTTAAAAATATGCCCCACAGTCATGGCTCTTGATTTTCCTCAAAAGAATTTTATGGTTAATTTTCATATTTGGGTCCTTAATTCACTTTGACTTGGGTTTTGTGAATGGCGTGTGTGGACTTAGAGCCTGATTAATTCGTCTACACGTAGGTAGACATTTTCCCCACCACCATTTATTGAAGAGATTTTTTTCTTCCTCATTTAACTCCATTTAATGTTGAAAATTAGTTGCCCATAGGTTTATAAAATTTATTTCTGGGCTCAATTCTATTTCATTGGTCTATTATGTATCAGACTGCTTTAAATATTGGGAATTTATAGTAGTATGTTTTGAAATTAGGACGTATAAGATCACTTTATTCATCTTTATGATTGCTTTAACTGTTTGGTGTCCCTTGCCCTACCTTATATATTTGAGGATTGGCTTTTCTAATTCGGTAGAAACCTTTTGGAATTTAATGAAGGCAAGTCAGATATTTCTGATGAAAATTTAGCATCTAAATTGAGATAATGCTCCAAGTATAGTGTCAGAATTTCTTGCACTTTTTTGTTGTTGTTAAGTGGCTCTGATTCATAGTTACTCTGAACAACAGAAATAAGTATTGCGCCGTCCTGCTCCTTCCTCACAATTGCTACATTTGAACCCATTGCTGCTGTCACTATGCCAGAGTATACCTCATTGAGGAGCTTCCTCTTTTTCACTGACCCTCCACTTTACCAAGCATGATGTCCTTTCTGGAAACTGGTCCCTCCTGATAAACATGTCCAAAATATGAGAGATGGAAGCCTGACCACCCTGGCTTCTAAGGAGCATTCTGGCTATACTTTTACTAACACAGATTTGTTAGTTCTGTTGGAAGTTCATTTTAATAATCTAACAGAATTTTTTTGTTTTCTTCTTTTCAAAAGGATGAAGAAAGTATTCCTATTATGTATAGGAACTTACCCGAATATAAAGAACTATTACAGTTTAAAAAGTTAAAGAAACAGAAACTTCAACAAATGCAAGCTGAAAGTGGATTTGTGCAGCATGTGGGCTTTAAGGTAAATTTTATTTCCTTTTGTTACTCATTTATTTTTAAAACCACCTTAAAAGGTGGTTTCCAGAATTTTAAATTCCAAAAGTAAGATTAGCTATTGTCATGCTCATTTGTTAAGAGGTAGTGTGCCACAGTTTCTGATACCAAAAGGTTTATGATTCAGTGGAGAGATGACAAATATATTGACTATATATGTGGAAAGACATGATGGAAAAGCTCTATATCATCAGTCAAAACAAGGCCAGGGGCAGACTGTGGAACAGACCATCAATTAGTCATGTGCAAATTCAAACTGAAGCTGAAGAAAATGAAAACAAGTCCATGAGAGCCAAAATATGACCTTGAATATATCCCACCTGAATTTAGAGATCATCTGAAGAGCAGATTTGATACATTAAACACTAAAGACCGAAGACCAGAAGAGTTGTGGGATGACATCAAGAACATCATACACGAAGAAAGCAAAAAGTCACTTAAGAAGACAAGAAAGAAGGAAAAGATCAAAATGGATGTTAGAAGAGACACTGAAACTTCAATGTAGAGATGCTAAAGCAAATGGAAGAAATGAGGAGGTCCAAGAGCTGAACAGAAAATTTCAAAGTTCAGCATGAGAACACAAAGTCAAATATTACAATGAAATGTGCAAAGATCTAGAGTCTGAAAACCAAAAAGGAAGAACACGCTTAGCATTTCTGAAGCTGGGGAAACTAAAGAAAAAATTCAAGCCTCGGCTTTCTTTATTAAAGGACTCTTTGCAAATTATTGAATGGTGCAGACAGCATCAAAAGAAGATGGAAGGAATATACAGAGTCACTGTATCAAAAGGATTGAAGTTGATGTTCAACCATTTTAAGAGGTAGCATATGATCGAGAGCTACTGTAGGAAGAAGTCCAAGGTGCATTGAAGGAATTGGCCAGTGGAATAAAAATTGAAATCTTTCAAGAAAGTGAAGCAGCACAGGAGGCACTCACTCATCTCTGCCAAGAAATTAGGAGGAAAACTATCTGGCCAACTGATTGGAAGAGATCCATATTTGGGCCCATTCCAAAGAGAGGAGACCCAAAGGAATGAGGAAATTGTCAGACAATATCTTTGATATCCCAGGCGAGTAAAGTTTTACTAAAGGTAATACAGAAATGGCTGCAAGCATACATTGACAGAGAACTTCCAGAGGTTGAAGCCGGATTCAGAAGAGGCCGTGGAATGAGGGATGTCATTGTTGATGTTTATGGATCTTGGCTGAAAGCAGAGAATACCAGAAGGATGTTTACCTGTGTTTTATTGACTACACAAAGGCTTTCCATTGTGTGGATTGGATCATGACAAGTTATGGACAACATTGCGAAGTATGAGTATTCCGGAACACTTAATTGTGCTCATGAGGAATCTGTACATGGACCAAGAGGCAGTTGTTTGAACAGAGCATGGGAATACTGAATAGTTTAAAATTAAGATTAAAAGAGTACAGGGGTGTATTCTTTCACCATACTTATTCAGCCTGTATTCTGAGCAAATAATCCGAAATGCTCAGTTCTGTGAAGAAAAACGTGGCATCAGGATTGGAGGAGGAAGTCTCATTAATAACCCGTGATATGCAGATGATAAAGCCCTGCTTGCTGAAAGTGAAGAGGACTTAAAATACTTACTGATGCAGATCAAAGAGCACAGCCTTCGGTATGGATTGCATCTCAGTGTAAAGAAAACAAAAAAAAACTCATAGCTGGAGCAATAAACAACATTCTTATCAATGGAGAAAAGATTGAAGTTGTCAAGGACTTCATTCTTCTTGGATCAACTATCAACATTCAGGGAAGCAGTAGTCAAGATATCAAACGATGTATTATTACATTAGGCAAATCTGCTGCACGAGACCTTTTTAAAATGTTGAAGAGCAAAGATGTCAGCTTGAGGACTAAGGTGCGCCTGACCCAAGCCATGGTATTTTCACTAGCCTCATATGCATGCAAAAGCTGGACATTGAATATGGAAGACAGTAGAAGAATTGATGCTTTTGAGTTATTGTGTTGGAGGAGAATATTCAAAGTGCCATGGGCTGCCAAAAGATCTGTGTTGGAAGAAGTGCAGCTGGAGTGTTCCTTGGAGGTCAGGATGGCCAAACTTCGTCTTTCATACTTAAGACATATTGTCAGGAGGGACCAGTTGCTGGAGAAGGATATTATGTTTGGTAAGGTGGAGGGTCAGAGAAAAAGAGGAAACCCCCCCCAGCGAGATGGTTGGCCAAGTTCCAGCATCAATGGGCTCAAGCGTGGCAACAATAGTGAGGTTGGCCCGGTCCTGGGTAGTGTTTCATTCTGTTGTGCATAGGGTCACTATGAGTCAGTACCGATCAATGGCACCTAACTAGCATCAATAACAACAACAACATTGTTGTTAGTTGGAGTCGTGGGTGGTGCTGCAGGATTACGCACTGGACCGCAAGATCAGTCTGAATTGTAAGGTTGGCAGTTCAAATCCACCAACTGCAATTCGGAAACCCTTTACAGGGTCTCTGTGGGGCACAACTGACTCAGTGGCAGTTAACAGCAACAATATTGTTGTCAGTTACAGCTGAATTGATTTGAATCATGATGATCTCATGTGGGCAGAGTGGAACAGCTTACTCCTATGCGTTTTCAAGGCTCTGACTCTTCGGGAACAGATTGTCAGGCTTGTTGTCTGGTGTACCTTGAGTGGATTTTAACTGTCAATATTTCAGCTAGTCGTCGAGTGCTTAGGTGTTTGGTCCACTGGAGACTCAGAATTTAAAATTTAAAATATGGAACGAGAATTTTCCATCTAGCTGTTTCTCTTGTTATTATAGTTATTTGTGTGTCATAAATGTTTACTTTTGTGTTATTTTCCTCACCTTTCAGATTCAATTTTATTTCAGCTGGGTTTTTTTGTTTTGAGTAACTAAGAAAAACACATCCATTCACAGTCCCCATTTTATGAGATACTCTTTGTTATTTTCTAGACACTTTGCTAAAGTGCTAGGATTCTACAGTAAACAAGATGGATTTCGCCCTGTTATGCTATCTTGTTTCTCTTGAGGAATTTAGAGAAGTAAACAAGTAAAATAGTTCCGTACAACCATAGTTAGAGACCGTTTTGGTAATGCAGACAATGATGAGGGTGTCCTGAATTTGAGTAGTAGCCTTGGAAATGGAATGAGGTAGACCCGGTTGAAAAAATTGTAGACATTATAATTGGCTGTACTATGTGGGATTGGAGAAAATAACAATGAAACTGAACTGTAGATTAGGTGGTAGTGGTAAATTTAAAGATACTGATATGTGCTGTGACTGATAAACTAAATTGTAAACAGAGTTATTATACCTCCGATCCTCTGGAGTAGCCGTTATATTAAATGATTATCCTTCTTGGTCTTTCAATGACCCTACTTCTCCATCAGAGATTTTCTTAGCTGGTAGCTTTGGTCTTTCAAGGGGAAACTCACTCCACTTCTCATAATTTGCTGCAAGCCCAAGCACTACTTGTTTGCCTGAATGAGATTTACTTTGGTTTTCCACACTGCACAGAACACACTGAGGGCTACCATTTTGAGCAAAATCTGGCTCTGCCATTTATCATGATGGGCATTGGCTATTAGGAGCCTTCAGTCTTTGGAAAGCAATTCAGAAATATACAAAGTTCAGAGAGGTTGTTGTGATTGACAGTGTTTGTTAGCTCGGAGTGGATATTTAAAAATATTTTTTAAGGCAGTGATCCTTAAACAGAGCACCTGTACACTGATATTTCATTAAGGGCTATTAATAATAAAAAATACCCAAGTTTACAGATGATTTACTTAAATTAAAAGAAATAAATAAAGCACATTTAAGGTTATCCCTTTAAATATTCCTTTCAATCATCTGTATCTCAGTGTGCATTTTTGTGTGGTGAACTTATAACTAATTTGCTAGAAATGGTATGTAATTTATAAGTCTTAGTGGTTAGGAATTGGGCTACTAACCTCAAGGTCGGCAGTTCAAAATTACCAGCCGTTCCACGGGAGAAAGATGAGGCTTTCTGCCTCTGTAAAGATGTATAGCCACAGAAACCTTGTACAGGGTCTCTATGAGTCCCAATTGATTCCACGGCACGTAACCACCACCACCATACCACTGTTTAGTTTCTAGGAGAGAAGGATGTCATGTGAACATCATGTGTTTCCCAGTAGAACAACAACAAAAAGTTATGAAACAATATGGCTTAATAATTTTTCTCTCTGAATTTGTTATAGTGTGATAACTGTGGCATAGAACCTATCCAGGGTGTTCGGTGGCATTGTCAGGATTGTCCTCCAGAAATGTCTTTGGATTTTTGTGATGCTTGTTCAGACTGGTAAGTGTTTTCTTTTATGGTAGGTTTTACATCTTGACAAATAAAGAGCTTCTCATGAATTTGCTTTCCAAATTTCTTAGAAAATAACTGTATTTAATAGATGAAACTTTGTTGTTTTGGGCAACAAAGATTAAATAATTTTAAATCATACCACATTTGAAATAATTTTACATTAGACATTGTAATAGATTAATGGTTACAGCTATGAGGAAATTTTCTAATACATAGACTAAAATACTTCTAATGACATTTAATAATTTGTGAATGTTTTGTTTATTGTTTTGCAGCCTACATGAAACAGATATTCACAAGGAAGATCACCAATTAGAACCTATTTATAGGTCAGAGACATTCTTAGACAGAGACTACTGTGTGTCCCAGGGCACCAGTTATAATTACCTTGACCCAAACTACTTTCCAGCGAACAGATGACATGGAGGAGCCCACTGTTTAGTAGTCCTCTTCAATACATAGCAATGGTATCATTGTTCATTATGTACACAGTATGGAAAGATTCTCTGCTTTCCCTGAAATGACACTCACAGTATGACAGCTTCCTGAGTGTTCTCGTCAAGTACAGCTCTGTACCGTTGCGGCTCTAAAACACTGTTCAACAGCTGAACATTCCTGGTGAGCAAAGGGTTTCCCTGGGGAAATTTTCACCATTCCCTTAAAGCCTTTTTAAGTGGTGCTCTTAAATGGATGAGATGGAAATGAGAGCACATATTAAAGAGAGTAAAATTCCAAAGGTTTCAAAGAACTTGGTCATAAATATGATAATGAGAAGATAAAGTATTTATATAAAAAACAGTTTAGTAGCTTTCAGTTTTGTTGTGAAATAGTTTTCAGCACAGAAACTGACTTATTTAGACAAAGTTTTAACCGATGATGGTGTTTGCTTCTAGGATGTACACTTAAAAGAACTCACTGTCCCATTGGTGGCCACTATGACCTTTAGTAAATCGGGGCTGCTTAACCATATTGATATCTAATTTCTTTTTAACCACAATGAACTGTCTTTATTACCAACAGCGAAGCACTACAGGAGGCAACTGTGGCAATACCTCCTTAACCAGCTCATGGTGTGTGAATGTTCTAAAATTGTCACTCAGATATATTTTTAAAATGTAATGTTATATAAGATGATCATGTGATGTGTACAAACTGTGGTGAAAAGTGCCAGTGGTAGTAACTGTGTAAAGTCTCTAATTCACAACATTAATTCCTTTAAAATACACAGCCTTCTGCCTCTGTATTTAGAGTTGTTGGTGCAACTCATCAAAGAAAGCTGCCTAATATAAAAATCATATATATGGTAATAATTTCCCCTCTTTTGTAGTCTGCACAAGATCCATAAAAGATTGTATTTTTATTACTATTTAAACAAGTGATTAAATTTAGTCTGTGCAGTGAGCAAGAGTTCACATGCATTCTTTTATACTGCTGGATTTTGTTGTGCATCATTTAAAACATTTTGTATGTTTCTTCTTATCTGTGTATACAATATGTTCTTGAATAATGTTCATTTGTCAGAACTGTGAGAAATAAACTATGTGGAATATTGTCTGTTTATATTATAGAATGCCTGCTGTGACTTTCTTTTGCTTAGATTTGGGATTTTTTTGACCAGTGTTAAAACCAGAACTTGGGTTGTCTTTGGCTTTACGTCACACATCTGTCTTTTATAAAGGACAAGAAATATACTTTCTGTGGAACAGGTGGCAATGTTTTCTGAACAGTAAACATTGAAATGGTAAATTTTTAGAGTTCTCTTTTTTTTTTTTTTTTAAATGTTTTTATTTTGCATTAAGTGAAAGTTTACAGGGCACATCATCAGCTTCACATTCAACCATTCATATAGCTTGTTTCATTACATTGATTATTATCCCTGCTATATATCATCAGTTTACAGTGTTTCTCTCTATCCTCTTTAGCTTTTTTTTTTTTTGGATGGGGGGGGGACTTGGCTTATTGGAATTTACAGTCTCGGCTTTTAGGGGAGGTTTTTACATTTATCTGTGGATATCCAGGGCTCATGTATGAGATTACTAACAAGCATTACTGAATAATCAGATGAGGGACAGTTTGTTATGTCTACTAGGTGGCTAGAGTCTGATCCTCAGAGCCTATGGTTTGGACGGTCAACAACGCTTGGGCCCACAGGGGCTTGGCCTCCTGACCGGGTCTGTGCTGTCTGCATCTGAGTCCTCCTTATTTATTGATTGTTTAAGGGACGCTGCCTGTCTTAGGTGGTCAGTGCGAATTCCTCAGTCTTACCAGTCATTGAGACTCATTGCAGCATGGCAATGTCTCTGTCCCAAGTAGCCGAGGTTCCACGTGATCCTTACCCGTCTCTGGCCACACGTCCAGCATAAACAGCCGCCATCCGAGGAAGGCAGGGAGGGAGGAGATCAGCTGGGGACCCCATGCGCCCGACGTTGCCGGCCCACCACCTGCTCCAAGGAGGATCACTATGCTGAGGTTCAATCCAGTTCCTAGGGGATCTTATTCTCTAGCATGGGTAGCAAATGGGTAGCCACGCAGTGTTCACTTTGAGAATTACTTATATCATAAAATTGAGCGTGTAGCTGATGAATATCCCCAGACAAGTGTATATTGTTCCACAACCTCCTACAATGCTGTTGGATTAAGTTCCAATTAATTTCTGGGTTACTGATAGATAACACAAATCTACTTATACCTTGGGTAACCTTAGCTGGGAGTGTAGTCTGGATATATTGGGTCTTATTTCCCTTAAGCGGTCTTCCTTTCTCTAAAGCATTTAGCCTGTTTTGTGAGCCTTTGTCTATTTACTCTCAGATCATATGAGCGAGACTAATGTCTCTAGACATTTGATTTACATGATGGGCAGGGCAAAAAAAGGTAACAATTTCTGTTTGCGCAGTGATTCTTGACCTGAGAGCAAAGGCACATGGCACGTTTGAGGGCTAGGGAGTTCTCTTATTTTTTGCAAGTTTAAATCAAAGGAACATCAACACTAAAATTATCTCCTAAATTCTTTAAATTGAGAAAAATGATAGAATTTAAAATATAGGATTATGAGAATTTTAAAACAATATATTGATTAAAGATGGCTTATGATATTTATATGATACATTATATCAGAAAGATAAGGAAATGGACTTGAGCTTACTTTCTCACCCTGGAATTTTTCGTATAGGGAGAAGAGGAAACTCATTAGCAGTCTGGGCATTTTAATATTAAATGTTATGTGACTATGCCGGAAGATCAACTTACAACCTATAGTTAGGCAAGATAGTAGAACTTGATGACAACTTCTGTATTTTGCAAAAGTAATGCTGATTTTTTTTTTTTTGAGAACCATTCATTCAGATCATTTAAACATCTCAAAGTAATATGTGTTTTGGGAGAAGGCCATTCATATTAATAAAATTGTTAAATAAACAATAGTCAAAATAAACCCACTTGAAAGTGTTTTTTCCAGGGCAAAGATTTTGATGAGCAAAGAGAATGAGTTTTCTATTAGAGCAAAGAGATGTTTATTTTGCACCTTTCAGCTCCAAGCCAATAGTTCCCATGACTTTAAAAGGCTGTAAAAGGAAGTGGGAATGGCTAGAGTTCTGTTTTGTTTGTTTGTTTGAATTTGAAGCCTACAGGAAAGGGCAAGTAGGCCTTCCATCTTCCTATATATGGATATACACCAACATTCAGGAGACACTTAATTGCTAAATCATTGGGTATTTAATGGTACTCACTAAATCAGATCTATTTTCTGAAGTAGAACTAAAGTTACCTTTTAATGACCACTTTTACCACTGTTGTAAGGTTTGGGCAAAGGAGGTTTCCTTCAGTGGAATGTACTAATTCTATTAAACACTGATCTAATGCTAAGTATATGCCTAGGAAGTAAGTAATTTAATTCTTATGACCCTGTGAGGCAGGTTAAATGATGTGACCAAATCATATTGATAGTTAAGTAGTGATATGTGGATTTAACCCAGAAAGATGATACTGCTTCACTACCTCATTTTCTAAGCAAGAATACTTCCTTTGTAGGTGTTCTGAAGGTGTTTGGGATTAGGAGTGGGCAAGGGTTGCTTTTCATTCCTTTTTCCTGGGTGGTCCCTAGAGTACAAACCTGAACACACGTCCAGGTTTGTAGCACAGAATAGAGAAGCTTATCTGTGAATGTGGGGACAGCACTGAAATGCTCCACCATAGTGAATTAAGTAAACACACATTTGTATAATTTACATATTCTAATTGTGGACAGCAAGCATGTTATCATGAGGGGGTTTTTGGAAAATTTGGCACTAGGTTTTGTGTCTTTTCCCCAGCTAGGATTTGTTTCCACACAGATTGGATGCCTCTTAATCTAGTAGTGTGCCTTGCCTCCCCAACCCCAACCTTCAAGTCACAACATAATTTACTGGGTGGTGTAAAGAATGAGGTTTTTTTTAATGAAATATTATATCACATTTAATAAAGATAAGTTGTTGGAAAATGCCATCGAGTTGACTCCTACTCATGGTGACACTGTGTAGGGTTTCTGAGGTGCAGGTGGTGGGTTTGAAATGCCGACCTTGTGGTTTGCAGTCCAGTGCTGATACTACAGTGCCAAACCAGGAGTCCCTTAAGTATTGTTTTGTAAAATTTCTTTTCCATTGTAAATTTAAGTGTGGCATGCTACAAACTGTTTCATATTGTGGACAACACAGGTTGAAGGTCCACTGTTTTAAGTGTACTAGATGGAATTGGGAGTCTCCAGGCTATAAGCAACACCACCACCAAGGCTATGAATAGGTTTTCCATAAGATTATTGAAGCATTGTTCTTGTGTTTATTTTCATTTCTTGCCTCAGCAAAACATATACTTTATTTTTAAATTGTTTTTATTTTGCATTTATGTGAATCAAAAGATAAAAATTGAAACAAACAAGAGCCTTGTATTGTGACTATGTACTCCTGAATCAACACTGGACTGCCCACCACAAGACTGGCATTTCAAACCCACCATCCGCCCTCGGAGACCCTATACAGCATCGCCATGAGTCAGAATGGACTCAACAACACTTAACAACAACAATTGTGAATTGAGGGAAGGTTTAAAAGGCAGATCAGTTTTCCATTCAACAATTCATACACATTTTGTTTCATCTCATTGATTGCAATCCCCACAATGTAACATCACAAATTCCACTTCTTCCCTGGGTTCCTGTTTCCATCCCTCCTACTTTCTTAATCCTTCTGAACTGGGTCCTTGGTCAGTGCTGCCCTTTTGATCTCAAGTGGTTGATTATTGTAAAGTTTGAGGACCTCCCTAGTGTGATTGTTCCCCTTATGTTGTTGATAAGTGCCGTGGAGTTGGTTCTGACGCATAGTGACCCTGTGCAGGGTTTCCGAAGCTGTAAATCTTTACGGGAGCAGAAAGCCTTATCTTTCTCCCGCGGAACAGCTGGTAGTTTCAAACTGCTGACTCTCAGGTTCACAGCCCAATTCGTAACCACTACGCTACCAGAGCTCCTTTGTTCCCCTTATAGACCTGTATGTTGTTTAGTAGCCATCACTCCTCTGTCAGCTTGTCGTACTGTGGTGGCTTGTGAGTTGTTGTGATTCTGAAAGCTATGCCACCGGTATTTTAAATACCAGCAGCATCACCCATGGTGGAAGTTTTCAGGTGAGCTTCCAAATGAAGACAGACCAGGAAGGAGTGACAAACTACTTCTGAATATTTAGTCACTGACAACCTTATGAATAGCAGAGACACACTGTCAGATATAGTGCTGGAAAATGAGACCCTCAGGTTGGAAGGCACTCAAAATGCCACTGGGGAAGAGCTGCCTCCTCAAAAGTAGAGTTGACCATGTTGATGTGAATGGAGTAAAGCCCGTGGGACCTTCATTTGCTGATGGGGCACAACTCAAAATGAGGACAAATAGCTGTAAACATCCATTAATTGGAACATGGAATATATGAAGTATGAATCTAGCTAAGTTGGAAATTGTAAAAAATGAAATGGAATGCGTAAACATCGATATCTTAGGCATTAGTGAGCTGAAATGGACTGGTATTGGCCATTTTTTACTCTGACAACCACATGGTTTACTATGCCGGGTATGGCAAATTGAAGAGGAATGGTGTTGTATTCATTGTCAAAAAGAACATATCCAGATCAGTCATGAGGTACAATGTTGTCTGTGACAGGATAATATTCAAGCGCCTACAGGGAAGACCAGTTAATACCACTATTATTCAAATGTATGCACCAACCTCTAAAGCCAGTGAGGACGAAATAGAAGACTTCTGCCAACTTCTTCAATCTGAAATGGATCAAACATGCAATCAAAATGTATTGACTGCAAACCATAAGGTGGTCATTCCAAAGAGAGGGGACCCAAGTGAATGCGGAAATCATTGGACACTATCTTTGATATCCCATGTGAGTAAAGTTTTACTAAAGGTAATATAGAAACTCCTGCAAGCACACATTGACAGAGAACTTCTAGAGGTTCAAGCCTGATTTAGAAGAGGCTGTGGAACGAGGGATATGATGTCCGATGGATCTTGGCTGAAAGCAGAGAATACCAGAAAGATGTTTCCCTGTGCTTTATTGACTATGCAAAGGCTTTTGGTTGTGTGGATCATGACAAGCTATGGATAACAGTGTGAAATATGAGTATTCTGGAACACTTTATTGTGCTCATGAGGAATCTGTACATGAACCAAGAGACAGTTGCTTGCACAGAACACAGGAACACTGAATTGTTTTAAATTAAGAAAGGTGTGCGACAGGGTTGTATTCTTTCACCATACTGATTCAACCTGTATGCTGAGCAAATAATCTGAAAAGCTGTGTTCTAAGAAGAAAATCGTGGCATCAGGATTGGAGGAAGACTCATTAACAACCTGTGATTTGCAGATGATACAACCTTACTTGCTAAAAGTGAAGTGGTCTTAAAATACTGATGAAGATCAAAGAATACAGCCTTCGGTATGGATTGAATCTCAATATAAAGAAAACAAAAATCCTCACTACTGGACAAATAACATTCTTATCAATGGAGTAAAGATTGAAGTTGTCAAGGACTTCATTCTTCTTGGATCAACCATCAACATTCCTGGAAGCAGCAGTCAAGAAATCAAACAGCGTATTAGGCAAATCTGCACAAGATCTTTTTAAAGTGTTGAAGAGCAAAGATGTCAGCTTGAAGACTAAGTTGCACCTGACCCAAGCCATGGTATTTTCATGCATGCGAAAGCTGGACAGTGAATAAGGAAGATCATAGAAGAATTGGTGCATTTGAGCAATGGTGTTGGAGGAGACTATTGAAATTGCCATGGGCTACCAAAAGAACCAACACATCTGTGCTGGAAGAAGTGCAGCCAGAGTGCTCCTTGGAGGCCAAGATGGTCAAACTTCGTCACTCATACTTCAGATATATTGTCAGGAGGAACAAGTTGTTGGAGACAGCTATCACTGTGAGTTGGAAATGGTTCAATGGCAGTGCGTGGTGGTGGTGGTGGTTATGTGACCCTGTTCAGTGTTTCTGAGGCTGTAAATCTTTACGGGAGCAGAAAGCCTCGTGTTTCTCCTGCGGAACAGCTGGTAGTCTCGAACTGCTCATGTTAAGGTTCGCAGCCTGATTCATAACCACTACACTACCAGAGCTCCTTGATGGCAATGAGTAGTTGGTGGTTATTTTCAAAAGCACTGCTTGCTATGACCCTAAAAGGCCTGACTGGACTGTGTTGTCTGCTATCTAATTTTCCTTCCTTGAGTTGTCAAAGCGGTGTGCATGGGCTGTGTTTGGAGAATGTTAATAAAACCCTATTGTGTTTTCTGGACCAATGGATGATAATTTTCATCCTGTAAATCCTCTGTTATGGATTGATTTGTGCCCCTTTCCCCCAGTATAAATCCTGACCTTCAACTCTTTGGTTATAATCCCATTTGGGAATGGGTTGTCTTAGTTATGTTAATAAAGCCAGGATTAGGAGGGTGTGTTTTGAGATATAAAAGAGATTAAACAAGCAAGAAAGAAGCAGAGAAGGGGCGAGTGAGATCCCAAGACAAATGAAGATTACTCAGAACAGACAAGGACCTTCCTCCAGAGCCAGCACAAAGGGAAAACCTTCCTCTTGAGTTGGCACCCTAAATTTGAACATCCAGCTTCAGCTTGGTACTGAGAGTGGGGTACTGTCCTAATCCAAACCCACCGCCATTGTGTCTGTTCTGACTCTTAACAACCCTATAGGACAGACTAGAACTGCTCCTGAGTGTTCCCAAGGTTGTCGATCTTAATAGAAACAGTCTGCCACGTTTATCTCCTGCAGAGCAGCTTGTAGGAGCAGAAACTCAGAGGAGACAAGAACTTTCTTTCAGAACCGAGGGAAAAGGATAGCTGCCTAGAGCTGATGCCCTGAATTCGCACTTCAAGCCTCTCAAACTCTGAGAGAATCAATCTGTTTGTCAAAGACACGCACTTGTGGCATTTCTGATACAGCAGCTACAGATAACTAACCCTCTTTTAAAAATGGGCTCAAATTGTCCTTCCATTATCCTATAGAGTGCGACAACTTGGGGTAGTAATAAAGAATTTGACAACTTTGGGTTGTAGGAACATGCCCCTTTTTGTTAAAAGAGGCATGTTGTTATTAAGCGCCTTCGAGTAGGTTCCTACTCACAGTGACCCTGTATAGAGCTGCTGATGGGTTTGCACCGCTGACCTTGTCTTTCAAACTGACCTTGAGGTCTATTGCAATATTGTGACTTTCCAGGACTCCCATTTTTCTTTAACAAACACTGATTTGTTTCTAGAGAATTTCTCTGCTCGAGAAAACGGAAATAAGGAAACAAAATGTTCTCCATGTAATAGCTCAGCATTGCTTTATAGCTAAAATGAAAACTATATGAACATATTGTAAATCTCAACTATTAGCTGTGTTTGCTTCAATTTCTTTTTGCATTTAGGTTCTAAATGCTTTCCAGAGTGATGCAAATTACAAATAAATAGAAAAAAGTGATCCTGTCTTCCATTTATTTTATTTTTACATATCCATTTCAAGAAAATAATGCCTTTAAAAATACAGTTCTGCCCCAGAAATGGATTCTTATCTACACAACCATTAAAGAAAAAAATCATGCAAACTGAAACTGGCCTTTTGTAATGAGTGAATGGAATATGCAATTATGCCATTAATATAATAATCAGCTCAGATTTGGCAACTGATAGCACAAAGAAAATCCAAAACTTCACTAGCTTAATGCAAGGAAACACAGTTTTACATATGGATATGCTAAGATTTGCAATAATTTTGAAAGGAGCCATTTGAAACAAATACAACATTGGAATCAGGTAAAGATCATTTACTTGCCTCTCTCACACATCAATTTTATTATTGCTATTGATTTTTTTAAACTTGTTTGGCAATTATAATAAATAAAAATTATAAAAGGGATCATTTAAAATTGAAATTGTAAGTTGAAATTTGTCCAATAAATGAATCATCTCATGCTTTTAAATAATTTTTGAAAATTGTATTCATTTATAATTGCTTAAATGCAACACCAAATATAGAAGATACCAGATTCATATAATTTATCCAATTTATTCTCAGCCATTACAACAATATTCCAAATCTCCAGTTTCCTAAAAATGAATAGAGAAATATGACTGATGATTAGTCTGGTTTTTATGATCTTGCAAAAACTAATTTCACCTTTTTTTCTTATCAAAGTTTACTTGCTTGATGCATGTCTAAGGTGTTCTCAACCCACACTCTCCACTGAGCCCCTAGTAGATGACACATGAGGAAGCAGCCACTGGGGGAAGATGCTCAGGTTGGCCTGCCTTGCCCTTCCCCCACACTAAATGGCCTTCATCAGAGAAGAACATATAAATCTTGGGGAGAGGAAGGAAGATATGATGGAGAGTTAGGGATGCTAACTTTGATGAGAGCACACCTGACACAGACTGGCACTGTACCTCTGTTCACATGCTACTTAGCTCAGAGGCTGAATTACATGATAGGGGTTTGATAATATCAAGTACACCATGCATGATTTCCAGACACCTCTCAAGTCAGGCTGGTAAGCAAACAGCGATTTAGCATTTGACACAAAAGTTTTACATTGAAGCGTTGCGTTAAGGGATGGACCTTGAATATTTTCTCTTGTCTCCATTCTCCTTGGCATACATGCATTTTTGTCTTCAGATAATAGAGTCAATTGCTGTGCAGACTTGAAGAAAAACTTCCTCTGGTGTTCCCTCTGCGTTTATCTATATTTAAAAGGAAAAAAGGGGGTTAGTCTTAGGAGATATTTGAGAATAAGATCCTTTTTAAGATAGGAAAAAATCCTTATCAAAAGCCACAGAGAAAAAAGTGACCTCCCTGTCACCCAACTTGTGTCGAAAGGCTTGGGTTTTTTGTTTAGAGATCAAGTGTTGATATACTAGGGTAAGGATCCAACAACAGAAAGTAGGAAAGGAAGCCGATTTCTGGGGATGAAGGCACTACATCTTTCTCTAAAAATGTGTGAACACTGTGCTGACCACTAAGCTATGCTTCACCATACAGGTAACATCTGGTGAACCCCATAAGGTCATGGGAGGTGGAGTGTGCTGAATTGCAGCTTTCCAGAACTCATCTCTTTTGTTAGGTGCCCTTGAGTCACTTCCGTCCAACTCAGCAACTCTATGCACAGTAGAATGAAACACCATCCAGTCCTGTGCCATCCTCACAATTAATGTAGCCACTGTGTCAACATATCTCCTTGGGGGCCTTTCCCCTTTACAGTGATCCTCCACTTTTCCAAGCAAGATGTCCTCCATGGAATAGTTCCTCCTGACAACAGGTCTGAAGAATGAGAGATGATGTCTCACCAATTCTACCTTCTAAGGTCTTTGCACATTTCATTAAAACGCTTTATAATGAACTCATCTCTTCAGGTTCTCATTTGATAGGTTTGGGCTAGACCTGGAAATCTGTATACTTCACAAATTCCCCCCAGATGATTCTAATGCAGGTCATCTCGGACCACATTTTAAGAAACACTGGATGGTCTCATCAACTCTTATCTAGCTTCCTGAATCGTTTGTATGCAAACTAGTTTGTTTCAAAACCCCTAGGCTCTCTTCATTGATTCCAGAAGTAGAATGGAATTCTCAAACTAAAAGAATCTTATACACTAAGTGACCCAGAAAATAAATACAACGTTCACAAAAGCATTGTTAGTGACAGCCCAAACTAGAGAGATACTAAATGTACATCAGCAGTAGATGGCAAATGTGACATAGTTAATTGCTATGGATTAACTTGTGTCCCTCCAAAATATGTATTTTAAATCTATAACCTGTGATTATAATCTCACTTGGGAATTGGGTTTCTTTTATGCTAACGAGACAGTATTAATGTAGGATGTTTTTAAGTTATTCTCTTAAGATGTAAGGAAATTATCATAAAAATGGAGACTTTTGGAAGAGCTTCTCTGATTCTGTTTTGTTTCTTGACCTGTACGGTGCTTACAAAGGTGCTTATTTATAATTTCTAAATCTATTCATGTTTAAGGAGCTCTGGTAGCATAGTGGTTATGAATCGGACTGCAAACCGCAAAGTCAACAGTTTGAAACTACCAGCTGTTCTGTGGGAGAAAGATGAGGCTTTCTGTTCCCGTAAAGATTTACAGCCTCGGAAACCCTGTACAGGATCGCTATGAGTTGGAACTGACTCCACGGCACATAACCACCACCAATTCATGTTTAGCTTTGCGCATTCCTGCATGTATGGTGCAGGAAAAATAAAAACAAGTTCTTGTCTTATAAATGTGGGTCATACTTTATCCTTGTGGTGGTTGTGCGTTGTGGAGTCGGTTCCCACTCATACATTCATAGTGACCCTGCATGGGGTTTCGGAGGCTGTAAATCTTTACAGGAGCAGAAAGCCTCATCTTTCTCCCATGGAGTGGCTGGTAGTTTTAAACTGCTGATCTTGAGGTTAGCAGCCTGACTTGTAACCACTACTCTACCAGAGCTTTATCCTTAGAGAAGCAAGCTAACTTGCTTCTCTCCCCAACTTGAGAGACTTTACATCTTGAGCTCAAGGACTTTGTCTTTGGCATGCTTATGTCTCACACAGCATCTTGTCTATTATTTTCCCTCTCCTCTTCTTTTCAACTATCAGACAGTCTCTGGGTGCTAGTCATGTGTTCTGGGTTAGAGATACTCAGCTGAACCAAACACAATGGCCCTGCTTTCAAGGGACTCACAGCTCAACGGCAGAGACACACAACAAGAATTTACACAGTTATGAGGTAAGCACTGGATGATATGGATAAAGAAGCACTTTACACAATCTTGGGAGAGCAAGGAAGCTTTGTGCAGAAAGTAATCATCATCATTTAAAATGATAAACATTATCATTAATGAAGCACTTAGTATATTACAGGCAAAATGCTTTTAAAACTACCGGAAATCCTAACAACAATCTTAGGAGAAAGGTATGGTTATCCTCTTTTCACAGATGAAGTAACTGAGGCTTTGATAGATTCATTCAATTTTTTCTGAAGGTTATATAGTTAAATGAAGTGGTAGAGACCTGATTCAAAACCAAGTCTCTGACTCTGAAATCCTTGTGCCTGTCAACTACTTTGTACTACCTCAGTTCAAAATGGAGGGAATTTTGAACCTGAAGGAGGAAGTAGTAAGGAGTGAGGCTGGAAAGGTAAGCAGAGGTTGGGCTATGTAGAAGCTGAAGTACCCTATTACATGAGAATAAAAGGAAGTCACAAGGATTTTAAGGAAGGGGTTGAATTGGTCAAATGCAGGTACATAGTAAATCTTTGATAAATAATTAATTGAAAAGAATTGAAAAAAGGATGACGTATAAGGCAAAATGTACTGTATTTGGCATGTTAAAATCCCCTGTCCTGTCTCCAATGAGCTTCAAGACTCACACTAATCATTCAGTCTCTTGGACCCTCAATTTCCTTCTCTGTAATATGAAGGGATAACTAGGGCTTAATAAACTTCAGATTTGATTCCAGCCTTGATATTCTATGCCATTTCAAATCCCAGGTTCACATTTTTGTGGGTACGAGAGACTCTTATCAGCAGGCAACAGCAGGGTTCAGCTTTTGTTTGGTGTTGTCATTTGAGCTAGGTCTAGAAGAATAGCTATTATGTATTTGAAGAAAATAAAGAGGTAGGGCTTTCCTTATGAAGGGAACAGGATATGCACAGGTATTGAGAGCTGAAAGCACTTGGATTTTTCAGAGAACTATGGGTTGTTGGTTGTTGTTGTTGTTGTTAAGTGACGTCAAGTCAGTTCTGACTCACAGCAACCCTATATAGGGTCTCCAAGGAGTGCCTGGTGGGTTTGAAACACCAACTTTTGAGGTTAGCAGTAGAGAAAATGCTGCTTGGATTGGGAGATGGCAAAGGAGAGAAGGCTGAAAAAATAGGTTGAGTTGAGGTTGTGATCTCAGTTCCAAGTTCTTACTACATTGTCTTCCAGTTGACTGAAACGGCAATAGTTCAGCAGGCTCTGTATAGATTTACGCTTAATCCATACTGCTCTGACTTTATTTCTACTCTAGCCTCCTATAAACTTCATCATCTAAGCTATAGGAAATCCCTGGATATTACCAAGCAGGATAATAACATAATCACATGTGTGCAAGCAGGTGGAAGACTGATAAGGAGAGTGGAGCATTGTGAAATATTATTATCTGTGGACACTCATCTGTTTCTTTGTTGTACTCTGGTAACTTGCATGCTGTTGTGATGCTGGAAGCTATCAAATACCATCCAGACAGGTTTCAGTGACGTTTCCAGACAAAGACAGACTAGGAAGGACCTGGTTCACTGGCTAGTGAAAACCTTAGAGATACAGCAGAATATTGTCTGATATATTGGCCAAACATTTAATTAATTCACCCCTAATGTTATCTTTTCTTGTTGCTGTCTGTTTTTTTTTGTTTCTCCTTTTACTATTTCTCCTCTATTTTCTCTTTTCACTACTATTTGTTTTATTTTCTTGTGAGTGTATGTATTTTCTCTTCTTGCCCCAACTGAAAGGAGACATAAACCGTGCCCACACAGTCCAGACACAACTGTGTACTCTGCAACCCTACCCACTGGGCAAGAGCCAATACCAGCTCTTACACCATCTGATCAGCTGTCAGTCAAACCCACCCTAAACTGAGCTGCACGAATGGTGGAGAACTGGACACATGCTCAGACTCTAGCAAAGTTGGAAACAACAAATGCTGAAGAAGACCTGGAGAGACTGGGACCTGCCTACACTGTTGGTGTGATTATCTCTCTCTATATATATATATCCTCAAGAAATAAGAGTCATGACACAAATAGATATATGTACACCCATGTTCATTTCATAATAGCAAAAAGATAGAGAGCCTAGATACCCTTGAGCAGATGAATAGGTGAACAAACTTTGGTGTATACACACAATGGGATAGTATACAACATTAAAGAGTAATGGTGAATCTTCGTGAAAGAATGAAAGAAAGACCATCAGGAAAAAGCTGAAACAATAATGCCAGTCTGATTGATTACTACAAGAACAAGTAAGCTGCTCGCCCAGGAGCCATCAAAGCAAGTGGTCGGGACCCCTCAGAGCAAACCCCATTCCAAGACTGAGACTCAAGGGGAATACATGAGCAGGCATGCTGTCTGGCTGGTGACCACATAGGTCACTGATAAGGGGAAGAGGGGAGAAAAACAGCATTGAAGTTGTGAGCTATGCCTGACCACATTCAATAGACCCCTGTGAACCTGGGTGAAGACCTGGATGGCCAACAATATGGCTAGACCTGGGGACTTCTTGGCCCAGAGGCAGTGGCATGGCCACAGAGGACTAGAGTGGAGAGTGAAGCATCCAGCTGATATGAAGTGAGGATATATGCACAAGAACACCCATACTTGCAGATAGTACCCACTTGACCTGGCTTCAATGGCTGGATGATCAGAACTCGACTAGAAGAAAGAAAAGGGGGGGAGGGGGAGAGTAACCCGCTACAATTTGATGTACTTTACCCATACTTATGGATGTAGCAGCTCAAAAAAGGGAACAAATCTTTACAGTGAGTATCACTCCCACCCCCTCGGTACACAGGGTAGACAGGGAAGGGCAACTTAGACATTGGCTACCCAAACTGGGGGGCCTATAAAGGCAAGAAGTGACTGGCTTACAAGCTTTCAAGAGGGAACCTAGATTCAGAGGGCATGGAGGAAGGCAAGTGTTTAGTTGTATATATATT